TTTCCTACAGGGCAGCCTGCACGATGAGATCTGGCTGCGCCGCCCACTTGGCTTCACTGGGACTTTTCCTCCTGGCACCAAGTGGAGCCTTCGACGTCCAGTCTACGGTCTCCGCCAGGCACCCCGTGAGTGGCACGACACACTGAGGACTACGCTTGCGGCTCTCGGGTTTGCTCCCTCTACTGCCGACCCGTCGCTGTTTCTACGCACCGACACTTCTCTGCCTCCGTTCTACATCCTCGTGTACGTCGACGACTTGGTCTTTGCCACAGCTGACACTGCTGGACTCGCCTACGTGAAGTCCGAGCTGCAGAAGAGACACACGTGCACTGACCTGGGTGAACTGCGCAGCTACCTTGGCTTGCAGATCACCCGGGATAGAGCACGCCGCACCATCACCCTGACTCAGTCACACATGGTGCAGCAGGTCCTTCAACGCTTCGCCTTCACGTACTCCTCGCCTCAGGCCACTCCTCTGCCTACTCGCCACTCGCTCTCAGCTCTGCCTTCGGATGAGTCCGTAGAGTCGAGTGGCCCGTACCCAGAGCTTGTTGCTGCCTCATGTACCTGATGACCTGCACACGACCTGACCTTGCATACCCTCTTAGCATTTTCGCACGCTATGTTGCTCCTAGGAGACACCGACCAGAGCACATGGCTGCAGCGAAGAGGGTGTTGCGCTACTTGTGCAGTACGTTGGGCATGGGGCTAGTGCTTGGAGGGCGGAATCCAGTGGTCCTCACTGGTCACGCAGACGCTTCTTGGGCTGACGACCAGGCTACGCAGCGGTCGTCACAGGGTTACACCTTCAGCCTTGGTTCCGGCTTTGTTTCGTGGCGGGCTACTCGCTCATCTTCTGTTCTCGGCTCTAGTTGTGAGGCTGAGATCTACGCAGGGGCCATTGCTGCTTAGGAGCTTCGCTGGCTCACCTACATGGCCGACCTTGGAGAGCAGCCTCGTTCTCCTCCAGTGCTGTACGTAGACAACAAGGCCATGCTGGCCTTGTGTCGAGAGCAGAGACTGGAGCACAGAACAAAGCACATTGCTCTCCGCTACTTCCTTGCTCGTGAGCTACAGCAGCGTGGTTAGTTGCGGCTTGCGTACGTGGCTTCTGAGGCCAACACTGCTGATGTCTACACCAAGGCACTTGCGCCTTGTGATCATCAGCGCTTCTGCACCCAGCTGGGTCTTGTACCTCTCTTGCCTCACTTGCTCACCTCTTGACCTTGCTTGTACTGTTACATATATATATACCTGCTCTTGCTTGTCTAGTCTTATATATATATGTACTCCTGCATGTGAACTGGCCTTGTGGCCTTGAACTTGTGCTCGGAATGTGTGGTGACTTTGTGATCCACCCTGAGCTTTCTTTGCTTTGCTTTACTTGACTGGTCTTGTGACCCCTAGTTCTCCCCCACTTCGCCTATGGGGGTGTGTCAAACATTATATATGTTGTTTAGGCTACAGTGGGTTAGCCTATAGGGGGTACACAATTCTAGGGTTAGGTATTTGTACTGTTTTCACTCTTAGTTCATTCATTCCTGTTCATTGATTTCAACAGTACTGAGTGACGGTAGATGAGACTGTGAGCGTGAGATCTCGCTGCAGCTCCCCTTCAAACCAGGTGGTGATGCCGTCAGTCGAGCCGATGTAGAGAAGATCATCCACGTAGACGATTAGCAGAATGTAGTCTTTGTCTTTGGTGAGCCGGTACGTGCCTTGATCGTGCGGTAGTTGATTGAAGCCGATGCGGATGAGGCGAGCGTGCAGGTGCTGTTGCCATAGTCGCGGGGCCTGCTTGATGCCGTAGAGTGACTTGAGTAGCTGGCAAACTTGGTTGGGTTCTCCGTGGGAGCTGTGTGGTAACTCAACGAAGATTTCGGCATCAACGGGTGCGTAGAGGAATGCGTTGGCGACGTCGATTTGCCGTAGTTTCTTTTTCTTCATGGCGGCGATCGCGAGGAGGATTCAAAGTGAGGTATGTCGGCTAACCGGGGCGAATGTCTCGGTGAAGTCCCGTCCGTGCTCCTGATCGAATCCACGCACAACCCAGCATGCTTTGAACTTCTCAATTGTGCCATCTGCTTTTGTTTGAACGCGGAAGACCCATTTCCCGGTGAGGATGGTTTTGTTCCTCGCCACGCTGATGGGGACGACTTTCCAGGTGTTCCGTTCCTCCAGCGCCTTTAACTCTCTGTCCATGGCTTCACGCCATTTTTCCCTGTGTTCCCCCCCCCAGAGCCTACTGAACCGTCGCAGGCTCCTTAGGAAGAGCGTTGCCGTTGACTGCGGTGACGAGGCCGAGAATCTGTAGTCCAGTCTGTGAGTAGCGGGGGAGAGTTGCGTCCTCCGGATAAGCTGCTTCATCTCCTGCTTCTGGATCGGGTAAGAAATTTGGTCCTACTCGTTCTGCTTCGTTGGTGTGGACTGTCACAGGTGTTACGTAACCGTTGTCGGCGAAGTAGTAGAAGGTTTCGGCGTTGACACTTTCGTGAGGGTTGTCGTCGTCCATGGGAACGTCGATGGAGCAGAACGGAAGAGGTCCGGCTTCTTCTGACGCGTTGTCCACATTCTGCTCGTCCCAGTCAGCTTCGTCTTCGGCGGAGGCGAAGGCTCGGTCGCCACGAAAACCACATGTGGGATCTTGGTCCTCTTGTAGGTTGGCAAGGTATGTCTGGAGCGTGAGTCGTTCGTAGAAGATGACGTCGCGTGCTGCTACTGTTTCCTTGGAGTGGACGTCGAAGATTTTCCATGCGTTGTAATTCTTTTCGATGCCGAGGTATAGTCCCCACTGTGCGCGTCGTGAAAATCTGCCCGCTCGTGCTGCTGGGGGTCCATACCGTACCATGCATCCGAATACTCGTAACATTTTTGTACTGCCCTGTTTCCCTGTCCACAGCAGGTGCGCTGATGCGTTGTTCGGAAGCGATGATGACGATTGTAAGTTGTGCAGCATGACAGCGTGGTCCATTGCTGCAGGCCCTTGGTGGTTGGGTAGCCGCATGCCACGCAACAGTTTGCGCATGCTTTTCTGCAGAGTCCTGTTCATTCTTTCTGCTACACCTTGCTGCTGATGGGCGTAGGGAAGAGAGAGGAGCTGCTTGATGCTCCTTTCCGCTAGGTACTGTTTGAATCGTTGAGAGGTGTATTCTCCTCCGCCGTCTGACTGGAAGCTTTTCAGCTTTACGCCCGACTCTCTCTCTGCTACTGGTAGCCTGGCAGCGAATGCTTCGAGGGCCATGTCGCGGCTAGGTAAGTTTAGGTGCCAGACGTAGCGGGTGGCAGCGTCGATGAAGGTGATTGTGTGGTTGTAGATTACTTGTCCTGGCTCCCGATTGTACAGGATATCGCTATACACCTTCTCGAGTGGTGCGTACGCGGGTGCGCTCGGGTTGTGACGAGGAGTGAACGGCCGATGTGGTAAGTCGCCTTCGGGGCAGGTGAGGCATGTTCCTCGTGCTCGTTGGAGTTCTCTTCCGTCGAGTAGTAGTAACGAGTCCTTGTCAAGGACTCCTGCTCTTATTGTGTTGTTTAACACAGTGTTGCTTGGGTGTCCCATCCTTGCATGCCAGGTACTTTCGTCGGCGCGATGCCTGGGTGATCGTCGGTACATGTGGGAGTTGGAGTAAAAGTTGGCGATGAAGTTTGCGCTACGATGAACTTCTCGTGGTGCTGGGTGGAGCTGTTGTGCTGGTGTTGGCGGTGTTTTGTCGACGAGGACTGGTGTCGTTGTTGCTGTCAGAATATATCTGTAACTGCCTGTAGCTATAGTTAGTGTAGTTATTATAAACTTTGTTTAGTGGTGCACCTTCTTTGTTTCTTTGCTATATGTTGTTGCCAACCTATAGTGAAACCCCCTTTTTCTCCCTTCTCAACTTTCTCGACATTCTCCTCAACCCTAAACCTCAACTACTAAGACTCTCACTAGCTATGGCTCCTGAGCCCTCTAAACGTTAGTATCTTAACATGGTATTCAGAGCAGGTACGTTCCTGCTGCCTTCCTGCTTCCGCTGCCTATCGTCTTGCCGTGCGCCTCGCGCGCGCGGCGTATTTTTCTCGCCGTGCGCCTGCCCGCCGTGTGCTCGGGGCGCACGGCGGGCTTCTGCCCCGCGCGTGGCCTGCCCTCATGCCGCCTGCGCGCCTGCCTCACATCCACGGGCGGGCCTGATTTGCCCGCCCGTACCCTCCACTTCGCGGCGCCCTGCGAGGCGCCGCTCCTACTCGTCGTGACGCACCTGCGGGACCCGGGCGTCGCCACTCCTGCTCGTCGCGACACCCCTGCAGGACCCGCAAGGCGTCGCCTTGCTCGTCGCGACGCCACTGCGGGACCCGCGGGGCGTCGCCACTGCTCGTCGCGGCGCCCCCTGGACGCTGCTCCTACTCGTCGCGGCGCCCCTGGGGCGTCGCCCGTGCTTGTAGCGGCACTCCTTGGGCGCCGTCCCTGCTCGTCACGGCGCCCTCCCCCCTGGCCTCCTCCTCTACCTCACCTCCGCCCGCGCCAGCATTGCAGCCGAGCGCGGGCCTACCTTGCACCAGCAGCCGCCCTACCTTGCACCAGCAGCCGCCCCAGCAGCAGCAGCCCCTGGAGCCGCCGCCCCGACAGCAGCAGCCTCTGGAGCCGCCGCCACTGCAGCGGCCGCCCCAGGAGCACCAGGGCCTGGAGCAGCCGCCCCAGCAGCAGCAGCCCCTGGATCCGCCACCACTGCAGCGGCCGCCCCAGCCGCAGCAGCAACTGGAGCCGCCGCCCCAACAGCAGCAGCCTCTGGAGCTGCCGCCACTGCAGCGGCCGCCCCAGCAGCAGCAGCGTCTGGAGCAGCCGCCCCAACAGCAGCAGCACCTGGAGCAGCCGCCCCAGCAGCAGTCCACGGCGACGACCCCACAGCTGTATGCGCCGCCGCTCCTGGACTCGGAACGGCTGCCCGTGCCTGTGCTGCCCGTTGCTGCCTGTGCTTGTGCTGCCTGTTGCTGCCCGTGCCTGTGCTGCCCGTTGCCGCCCGTTGCTACCCGTTCCTGTGCTGCCCGTTGCCGCCCATTGCTGCCCGTGCCTGTGCTGCCTGTTGCCGCCCGTTGCTGCCCGTGCCTGTGCTGCCTGTTGCTGCCCGTGCCTGTGCTGCCTGTTGCCGCCCGTTGCTGCCCGTGCCTGTGCTGCCCGTTGCCGCCCGTTGCTGCCCGTGCCTGTGCTGCCCGTTGCCGCCCGTTGCTGCCCGTGCCTGTGCTGCCCGTTGCCGCCCGTTGCTGCCCGTGCCTGTGCCGCCCGTTGCCGCCCGTTGCTGCCCGTGCCTGTGCCGCCCGTTGCCGCCCGTTGCTGCCCGTGCCTGTGCTGCCCGTTGCCGCCCGTTGCTGCCCGTGCCTGTGCTGCCCGTTGCTGCCCGTGCCTGTGCTGCCTGTTGCCGCCCGTTGCTGCCCGTGCCTGTGCTGCCTGTTGCCGCCCGTTGCTGCCCGTGCCTGTGTCGCCTGTTGCCGCCCGTTGCTGCCCATGCCTGCGCTGCCCGTTGCCGCCCGTTGCTGCCCGTGCCTGTGCTGCCTGTTGCCGCCCGTTGCTGCCCGTGCCTGTGCTGCCTGTTGCTGCCCGTGCCTGTGCTGCCTGTTGCCGCCCATTGCTGCTTTTGCCTGTGCTGCCCGTTGCCGCCCGTTGCTGCCCTTGCCTGTGCTGCCCGTTGCCGCCCGTTGCTGCCCGTGCCTGTGCTGCCCGTTGCTGCCCGTGCCTGTGCTGCCTGTTGCCGCCCGTTGCTGCCCGTGCCTGTGCTGCCCGTTGCCGCCCGTTGCTGCCCGTGCCTGTGCTGCCCGTTGCTGCCCGTGCCTGTGCTGCCTGTTGCTGCCCGTTGCTGCCCGTGCCTGTGCTGCCTGTTGCCGCCCGTTGCTGCCCGTGCCTGTGCCGCCCGTTGCCGCCCGTTGCTGCCCGTGCCTGCGCTGCCCGTTGCCGCCCGTTGCTGCCCGTGCCTTTGCTGCCTGTTGCCGCCCGTTGCTGCCCGTGCCTGTGCTGCTCGCGCCCTTGTGCACTCTGCTCTACTTGCGCCCTCGTGCGCCCTGTTGCTGCCCGCGCCCTTGTGCGCTCTGCTCTGCCTGCGCCCTCGTGCGCTCTGCTGCTGCCCGCGCCCTCGTGCGCCCTGCTGCTGCCCGCGCCCTTGTGCGCTCTGCTCTGCCTGCGCCCTCGTGCGCTCTGCTGCTGCCCGCGCCCTCGTTCGCCCTGCTGCTGCCTGCGCCCTTGTGCGCTCTGTTCTGCTCTGTCGCCCCTGCCCCCCCACCCCCCACCCCCCACCCCCCCCTTCTTCGTCTCCTTGCTTCGCGTGCAGCCGTGGAACGGAGGCTATGGGGTGGCGGGTATGGGGGTGATGGGTGTGTGTGATCCCCTTCCCCTCCTCCTCCTTTCTCTCCCACTGCTACTGCTGCCGCTGGGGGGGGGTGGGTGTGAGGGTGTGGGGGAGCTGGGGGAGAGGTGCTAGGGTTGTCAAGGAGTGTGGAAGGGGGAGTTGGAGGACTGAGGAAGGTTCCATGAAGCAGCCGCCTTGGAGCCAGCAGCTTCACCTGCCAGCAGCCTCTCCTCATTTAGTCCCTCCTCCTCACTTGCCCTCTCCTTCTACTGCGCATGGTGTACCCCTTCAGGGGGTGTCTCTGCATTAGCTTCTGCTGCAGGCAGTTATGGGGGAGTGTCAGAATATATCTGTAACTGCTTGTAGCTATAGTTAGTGTAGTTATTATAAACTTTGTTTAGTGGTGCACCTTCTTTGTTTCTTTGCTATATGTTGTTGCCAACCTATAGTGAAGCCATCTTTCTCCTCTCTCAACTTTCTCGACATACTAGTGCAAGATGGTTTAAACACTTCACTAAAAGCTTCCGCTATTACGTCATCCCTATCTAGAGTTTAGTCCTGTAAATATCCTAAGGGCTTTCTCAGCCCAACACTAGAAAGGCTGGCCCCGGTGGTACAAGAATGTGTTCATGTTCACTTGCTCTACGGCGCACGGTTAGCGAAACCGTCGACAGGTATTCTTCCTGGCACCTGCGCATGAATAAGATCGGAATTGATGATAGAAGTATTAATGAGAATTGAAGGGAATGCCCCCCCCCCCCCTCCCTTTTTTTTTGCCTCCTATTCCTTATCAAGTTTGCCTATTGCAGTCTATGTATTTATTTGTTTACGTAAACGCTTTTATTTCCGTTGCAGCTCTGCTCTGTATCAAACTGCTCTGTGGCACATTTCTGTGACGCTTTTCCCTGCACCACTTTCCGTCGAGTCGAGACGGAATCCGTCAACGGAGGCGGATTTGCTCGACGGACAGGGGGTTTGGTGCAGGCGGGGTTGGTGCAGACGGGGGGGAGCACGTGGGGTCAACGCCAGCTCGAGCGGGGACCACCTCGCGTCACTCCGAGCTGGGGAGGCTCGTTTCGGGCGGGCGGATTGGCTGGCTCCCGCCCCTCGCGTGCCCCGCCACGCGACAGAGGGAAAACGAAAATCCCTCCGAGGAAAACCCGCAGGGGCGAAAGGGGGGTCCTCGGAGGGATTCGGCCAATATCTTCCCTTGTTCAACAAATGTGGTCACTGGCAGCCACGAATTCCTTGTTTTCTACAGAACACGAATCATGTCACTCCCAGTGTTTGTGCGTGCACCACCAGGCCTGTCGATTCAAGGGCATATGCCCTTAATGCCCTGAACATTAAGGGCTAGTTACGCTCCAGCTCCGATGCGGCAAGTTCTGGATTCTTACCCCACCCGTGCCACTAAGTGCTTCGTTCGATCCTTCCCTGGATGCGTTAAGGGACGAAACCAGTCCTTCCCCTTTATCTAAGTTTTGGTTTCCGCTCGTAGGACCCCCACCCCAGGGTGCCCGAGCGAGCCACCCCCCACCCCCCCCTTTCTCCTTTGCATGCACTAGAGCGCGCCAAGGGGATTTTTCCCTTAGCGTTTTCTAGCCAACCTCGTGTCTGTAGTGTGTCTCAGTCAGCCTTGGAGCACCCGAACATTCCCTTGGTAAAATACAGTGTGGCCCTGTTCGGCAGCACTTTGGGAGCACTAAAAACATGTCATCTTGGCCGTTGGGAGCCTGAAAAGTGTTCATGTTGGCCGTTGAGAGTGGTTCGGCACCACCAAAATCGCCTGCGACCCTCGTGCGACAAGACTTCATTCCGAGCTACCCACCCCACACAACTCCGAACCCCTCGCCCAACCCCAAGCCTGACGTGGGCCCAGAAGTCAGACAACGACCAATCACAAGAAGGGAAGGCCAGAAGATGGCTGCTCATCTTTTCAACGTGAGTACCCATCTTCCACCTAATTGAGACTTCCATTTCGGGCAGCGTGGGGGGTAAGCCCTGCGTCCCCCAAGTGCCCTCCTGCCCAGATTGGGGGTATTTTTAAACATGTGCATCGCCAGCAAAAGGCCCCGCGAACACACGAACAGCAGCCCAGTGCAACGTCCTCGACTACCTAGCAGCAGTAGTGAGCAACTTTTTTTTTCAGATTTTCCGTCCACGGGAGGTCTGACCGAGGGGTGACCCAGGGCCATAAACCTGAGTGAGTTGGATGTGTGGAGGGATTTTTGGGTCGTTCATGTTGGCCGTTGAGGTCTGGTGGCCTGGTCTAATTTCTCTGTCCTTTGCGCGGACACTGTAGATACACCTTAGATTTTGCTGACGTGTTGCCACGGTGTCAGGACGACAAGTTGCCTTTGGTTTCCGAACTTCCCAACGTTCGGAACCAGACCTCCCGCACAACACCGAACCTAGATGGGAAAAAACGTGCAATTTTTGCAGCCGAACAGGGCCTGTAAGTGCAAACTTCAAACATGCCCTGATTTCAAGTTTTCACTTTGGGGTGCGCCCGTGACCGTTAAGTGCGCCAAACCGCACACCTACACCCAACTAAGGGTAAGATGCGGAGGAGCTGGGGAGCGCAAGTACGAGCCCCAGAAACTTCGACAGGCCTGTGCACCACGTCCTCCAACCTTATCAAGTTGCTCGCCCTGCCACCCCAGATGTTAAAGGCGGGGTGCAACTTCTTAAGAACAGTAGCAGGACAGATATGGAGTGTGTGTAACGGGACCCTTATTGGACGAAAAAATTGGAATCTCGCACAAGACAAACCTCTCGCCACTGAACTGCCTGTGTACCAAGTTTCAAGCTATAATACCCTGAAGTTGAAGCTGATACAGATGTTCCGGTTTAGAGGCCCTCGCTAACAGAGTCCATTTTCCGCCAGAAGTAGAATTTTCCTATAATTCTTAGGTGTATCCCCTCTTGTACAGTCCCCTTGTGGGCGGCCCACAGTGTACAGAAAGGGGCCTGATCCGAATCACTGTAGAGCGGATCTGGGAAACAACCAATGAAAATCGCTGGTCAGATCACATGGGCAACGTGTATCATGTGTGCGAAAATTGAATGTTCTGGAGAAATCAGAGAGGCGAAACCTGTGCGATTTCCAGGCCCACGTCAGCTGTTTCGTATTCTGCTTCAAGTGCCATGTCGAATGAATCGTACCCCTCCCTAGCAACGTGGCGGGTTTTGAAGTCTTCAAAGTCAGTGTTGACCGAGGCTAAATCATGCGCCGTTTCACAACTCTCAAACCATTCAATCTCGCGTTCCAGTCTTCCGAGTCTCTATCCACTCTTTTTTGTAAGCAACATGGCTCGCACCCAGAAGCGCCAGCGTATTTCTCTCGTCACTAAGCGTGAAATCTGTGAGCATTTTGCTCAGCACCCGCACCTTCGTCTCGAGGATTTGTCACTCTGGTGCTTCACCAAATACGGCATCCGGCCTGACCGGAGCACAATCGGAAAAATCATCCGCAGCGAGAGGACATGGTGTTGAGATACTAGTAAGAGTTAGGCTTAGGAGCCTTGGTTGAGTTCGAGTGAGTTGCTCCTAGGCGAGGTATCGAGAGAGTTGAAAAGAGAAGAGAAGAGTTTTCACTACAGATCGAGCAGTACATATAGGCAAGATGAAAGGTGCACCACCAAAACAGAACATTATATAACTACACTAGTCTACACTACAGGCAATTACAAAACAATATATAGATTTATATATTATTCTGACACATGGCGCGCTGCGATAACTGTACAGGGGTGCGCCTACCACTGCCAAGTCCTCCAGTGGAAGCCTCGAGGCTCCGCGAGCGTCGGCGCGTCGCAAGGCGCGCGACCGAGATTCTTATTGGGTATGCTCGTGCGACCCGCATCATGCCATGCGAGCTTGCGCATATCTTCGGCATCAACAACACCGAGGTCGTGGCGCGGCTGGATCGCGCTAGTCGCGGAACCCTCAACCTGAACAACCCCCCCCCTCAACAGCGATGTAGCGGCTGATGCACCAGAGGACTCTCTTTCCTGCCGAGAGGCCCCTCTCGGCAGCAGATATCCTGGACGGGCGTGCCGACATCTCCAAAATCCCAGCTCCCAAATCTATCCCACACTTTTGGGACACATTTCACACCCATCCCCGAAGTGACTTTCAGGAACAACTACGGTAAAGTTCGAAGAGTTCCGAATCTGTCCCGAAATGCTCTTTGACAGTGTCGCAAAAGTGTTCGGGGGGGCCGATTTGGACATTTTTGGGACACTTGTAGAACACATTTCAGTCCAATGACAGACCAATCACTCACGTGTGAGATTACATTTTCATTGGTTCTGTATATGGTGCACATACAGGTTGGCTTTAAGTCCCGATTTACAGTTTGCAAGCTACATTTAATTTTGTTTTACAAATCCTATTCATCAATGTGTAAAAATTGTAGGGCATTCAGTCAGCAGTATAATGTGAAACTATTAGGTGTGGGGCCTAGGCTTAGTAGCCTAGGCCCACACTAGGAGATAGGTAAGTTCGAGTGGGTTAGGTGAGAGTCGAGAAATTGGAAGGGAAGTGAAGTGACTAGCAAGAGTTGGGATACAAGTACATTGCCCTAAATTGGGTTGTACTCATTACAGAGTACCCCACTGCAGGCTAGACAGCAAATATATTCTGACACACCCCCATAGCCAAAGTGGGGTGAAATCAGCAGAGCAGGCAAAGCAGTACAAGCTCAGGGTGGATCACAATGTCACCACACATTCTGAGCACAAGTTCAAGAAGCAATAGTTAAAGTGCACAATTATCAGCAAAGCTAGTGGTGGTCACAACGGGCAGGTGAGGAGGAGGGAGAGTGAGAGGAGAGGAGATGGGAGGCGACTGCTGAAGCTGCAGACACACGGGCAACAGGAGCGGCTGGCACAGTGGCTACCGGGACAGCGCCCCGGACTACTGGAGTAACTGGCTCGGCGGCTACGAAGAGCGGCAGGAGCAACGGACCCACGGGCGACAGGCGCAGCAGGCTCACTGGGCTACCAGGACAGCGCCCCGGACTACAGGTGCTGCGGACTACAAGACGGCAGCCTCCGCTCAACCTCCCACAAACAGTCCCACCCCCCTGACACACACCCGCTGCTACACCCCTAGCTCCGCTCCCACGCACCCCCCTTAAACCCTAGACCCCAGTCTCCCACACAACCACCCCCCTCAGCGACAGCTGCAGTAGTGGGAGACGACGGAGGAGGAGAAGGAAGGGGCGACACA